AAGCTGCATGACACATACCATCTCACAAAAACCTTGGTGAATGCCTTGGCTGGGAGCAGGTTGTGGAAGGCATTCATCGATTAAAATAGCCTCTTATGACCGAGCACAAAATCACCGACGTTGCATTCGTTATTGAGTTAGGATGAATTTGCGCAAGGATCAATTCAAAGAAGTTGAGGATGTCCACCAGCTCCTCGCAAAAAGGAAATCAGAGACCAAGCTGAAATTGGTCTTGATAACAATATGCCTCATATGGGAGGATTGGGTTTGGAGCGCCCTCTTGAGGAAGATGAAGAATATAAGAGTCATCGAAAGTACACTTTTTTTTTTTTATCATAGCAAGGGCTTTCGCCGTCAGTAACGATTTGGTGTTCCTTTTAGAAGCAAGAAAGTTCTTGTTGTTTTCCATGGCAGTGGCGATCACATATACGTCTCTGAGTTGAAATCCCTTGAGTTCGCAATGGTTGTTAAAGAAGGAATCAGAAGAACTCCTAAAAAAACCATGGGCACCATGTGAAAATGTTAAGAAGAAAAAGAAGAAATCGAGACAACGACTAAGAAATTTAAATCGGTCATCACCTTTCATGTAACAACAATGATAAAAAGGTCAATATATCGAAGAAACAAAAATGTGCAGCATGTTCAAGGAATATTTAAGAAATAAAGAAGTCATTTCATAATTCATTCGACATCATCATAGAGTAGCCACGCCCATATCTCAACGTCCAAGATTATCTGAAGCAGTCTCTTTATGCAGAAAAATCTAAGATGTTTCATATAAAAGAAAAATATTAAAAAAAAGGAAAGAAATATTAAATTATACAATTGTATTCCTTCATAAAATAAGCTTAAATTTTTATTATTAACATCACTCAGATCAATTATCCTAAACTGCAAGAGTTTCTTCATGACTATCTTCCAAATAAAAATTGATCGGTCTAGGGCAATTCAACTTGTTGGCAAAGAAGCAACAATGCAAGCTTTATCTCTTCGAACTAACTATGATTCTTCTAGGTATCTATCACTAACTTGTCCTTCCTGATCGTCAGCTCCTCTCAAACTTCTGCAAGCTAGTCTTGAGTTCTTACAAACTCTTTTGCGCTCTTCTCCAACCCTTTATGATGAGTTGACATCAAGTTTTCTCCCATACATTTTGCAAGTATAAAAGAGCAACATCATGCACTATCAGAGATGTGGTCACGAGATCTGCCTTTACGGGCATAACTTCAACGATGACCGCAAGCTCTTCCCCAAGTGGCAATCTCTCAAAAGAAGCAATTTTCACTCCTGAAACACAACTCACATCCTCATCGAACTTCTTCATAAAACTTTCATCCACATGATTGAATCTGTTAGAAATTGTGAAATTGTTTCATCCATAACAAAAGAATAACTGATATTACCTACAAGAGAGAGATCACCTATGGATAATTAAATCTCAGTCACTGGTTCTGCAGCTCGATCTTCTATCGTCTCAATATCCTCCATAACGAAATCATTGAGAATAGGCAATGGATCAAGCCATTGACCAACAAAAATAAAGAACATAGAGTTACAAAATTTAAAATGATGAAAGAAACAAGTACCTAGTTACCAGAACTCAGCTCCAGAAGTGTGACTATGTCTGAACCTTTCTAATCATTCAGAGGGCTAGAAACTTGTGTTCCAATGACATCTTTCAAAGCAACAACCACTAGTTCCTCAGTAATAGGATCTATGATTGGTGGCACTAGCGTTTCTACTATAGTCATTTCATTCATATTTGCTTCCAAGATCACAGTTGAGGTCACAGTGCTCCCAGCATGACTGTTAGACAATCCTTTTGCTTCGATGGGTTTTGAACTATTGGCACCATCATTCTGTCATGTCAAATCGTGGGAACCTTTAGAATGCTTCTCTCTCTTCAGCCTTTGTTGCATGATTACTCTCAATCATTCTTCTGAAATATCCATCACTTCATTGGAAATTTTCCCATCGAAGCTGAATCAGAGTGGAAGTAGATCCCTGGGAACAGAGATACGAAGAACAGCTCAAATAGGATGCATTCGACTCACTAAATTCTGCAAGGATCATGCCACTAAAGAATATCATACAAGACGTTAATATGACAAAATTATATATATATATATATCCTAGATTAATTATGTCATTACTGATGTTATATTCTTTATTATGACAAGGTGATGGTGCTCTGACGAATGTAGCGAGTTTCCTTATAGTGCTTATTCTAATTGATTTGATAGTCATTCTTTGACAATTCTAAAGAACCAGTGACAACACAAACTCCATAACAAGGAAGTCTAGAACTTTTTACATTCTATTCTACTACTAATTAGGAGTGAATATTTCTAAATGACCTAAAAAGTCATATCTCCTATAACATCATGTGCTTTTTTTTTGGGTAACTCAACAAGAAAAAATTCCCATGAATATCCTATGAGTCATAACAATAGAATGAGTAGCTTCTATCACCGAGAAAGTGAAATCACCTGAATGACAAATAGTTCATGGTTACCTCAGAGTACGCATGACTACTCTTTGTAGGTGTAGCTTCCAAGCCCCTTGAGGAAGGAAAATTTGATCTCAATAGTAAAATTTTATGAATATTCTTTGAAGAGTAGCCAATAAAGCTCATTGGTAGTGGAAAACAACATTCTGATTGAATATGAATAGATATGTTTTCGAACATACCCTATGAGGCAGAGTACATGTTGTAATTCTCTTATCCATATAGTCGTGCATAGGGATAATTTATCCCCTCGTTCACTTATCCTCCTCACAACAACATTTTAAAGAGTTGAGAATCTCGGAGAACAAAATATATATATATATATCCAAAAATGGGTTTCCTTAAGCAACATAAAATCCCAAATACTAAATGTACCTCAGGGGCTTTATGGATCGTGCCTACTAGCTATGCACTTAATGGTCTTGTGTTGAACAGGTCAATCATACTTGTTAGTCGTTTCTTTGGAGGTAACAAGCTACATAACTCTATGCAGCCCAGAAGTACCCCATAAGTACCTTTGAAGCACTTTAACATTGCTGTGAGTTCCTCAAAACGAGTTCATTCATTCTGGTTCGTTCACGTATCCTAAGTTCTTCCTTTGAGCTTTCCTAAATTAGTTGAATCTTCCCACCAAGCTCATCGACAACTACCAGGCTACATCACCGAGCTCAACTACCAGTTCTTCCAAGTTAAAGGAAAAGGACTCCAGCCTGTCGACAAACAAAACACCATTTTTTAACAGCATGACAAGCCACACCAACGGTCCTATCAACAATGAGTTTTCTCAGACTCTGTACTAGGAGTGTCAATTCGGGTTAGTGGGTTGGGTTCGGGTCCAACCCGAAATTGACTCAACCCTAATAGTTCCGACCTGAACCCAACCTGAATATTATATGGTTAGAAAATCCTAGCCTGAACCTAACTCGCCTTCAACCTGACAATCTTAACCCGACCAGTATAACCCATTTAGCATAAGAAAAATAGCTATTCATTCCACATCCGATCAAATCAGGTCAAATTTGAGTCAATTTATGGTTAATTCTAAGTTGGTCGATTTCAAGTCAATTTAGAGTTTGAGATCATTTTTATGTCATTTTCAACTTAGCGGGTTAACCCAAATCTAACTCTAGAAGTTAAACGGGTTAGAATTTTTTAACCGAAGCCGAATTTTTTGAGTCTGGTGTGGGTTGAGTTAACATTTCGAGTCCATTTTGGACACCCCTACTCCGTACCATACTTCCTACAACCTACTTTTAGACCTCTTTGCCTGTACATAAGCTCTGACATATGAATAAGAAGAGTCCTACAACCTACTTTTATATCTCATTATATAGACATCTCTGCCTGTACATAAGCTCTGACATATGAATAAGAAGAAAAAGAGAAGATAGATGATCAAAACTTGAACCCTCAAAATACTTTCACAACCTCTCTGAGATAATGGTTATTTCCACTTCTTTCATAAGGTCTATCCCTACTTATAGAATTCACTAATTATATTAGACTCCATGCCTCAAAAGAGCTCAACACTCCAGCATTATTTTTTTGGAATGACCAGTCAACTATTTGACATTTCGTTCCTCTAATTATGCTTTGGATGTCTTGTAGTTAGAAAATTGACTAACTTAACTTCTGAGAATCAATACATACATTGTCTTTATTTACATGAATCTAAAGATATTCGACTTTCTGGACGACTATGAAACAAATAATTATTCAGTTAGGTGGACAATAAATAATATTTTAAATCAAACATATCCCTCAAAACTTATGTATTTACATTTATAACATTTAAATTTTAATTGGCACAGATTTGTCACCCCACAGTCCTATCTAGATGTCAGAAAAAATTTGCATACATAAGACGTACGTAGCGCTGCGAACGTCAATAACTTATAATAGGTTACATGGAGGGTATTAGGCGATTATATCCACGTTATACAGCCTGTAACCTCCTTGTAACCTACTGAAACCTACAAATATATGTAAAAAAAAAAACGCAGAACTTTTTAGAAGGTATATGTAGGTTACATGAAGGTTACATGAGATATAAGGTGAATATAATCCCTTAATACACTCCATGTAACCCATTTGAAGTTTACTGACGTACGCAGCGCACGTTATACAGCCTGTAACCTCCTTGTAACCTACTGTAACCTACAAATATATGTAAAAAAAAACGCAGAACTTATTAGAAGGTACATGTAGGTTACATAAATGTTACATGAGATATAACGTGAATATAACGCCTTAATACACTCCCTGTAACCCATTTGAAGTTTACTGACGTACGCAGCGCTGCATACGTCTTACGTACGCAATTTTTTTCTCTAGATGTCAAAAGGTGTATTTTATAAAAAAAGTAATATTTTTTTTTAATGTGATATGAATTATTTGGGGGTATAAACGTAAACGGAATATAAGTGTTAGGTTCGTAAATAAATACTAATTGGGTGGCATTTTTGAGAATGCCCCTTGTCCGTACCTCCTTCCCTTTCTCAAGCATGTAGTCGAGGAAAACGGACCGCCTCGCACCACTAGTAGAGAACTCAAGTACCAACAGCTTCTTCTTCTTCTCTTCTCCCACTGCCCTGTGGGAGATTTCAAACACTGTGAAACAGAGAGAGAGAGAGAGAGAGAGAGAGAGAGAGAGAGAGAGAGAGAGAGAGAGTGAG